AACTGCAGCCTATTAGGTCTCAAAAATAATTGAAAATTTTAATCTAACGTTTCAAAGAATGAAGCCAGATAAGAAGTTCAGATTCTTTTTATTATATTTTATTTCGTGGAAAGCGAGGTACTCTTGCAGTCCTTTGAGTTGGTAGGCAATTTTGATCTGATTCATTTTCAGAATCACCTTTGCACTAAAAGGAGGCAACAGGAGAAGCAAGCCGGGGCTATGGTAATTCCCCTCAGTTAAATTCTAAGAAAAAGAGAAGTTATCATACTTCTGTAAGGTGATGTTTTGGAATCTCTTTCCAAGTTATATATTAGTGTTTCCCCATATTTCATCTCTTTTTATCAGGGTGATACTTAAAATATTTAATATAGATCCTGATAATCAGGACAGAAAATTAATTTTTTTATAATTTCTATTCATTTTAATGAGAAAAAAGATAAAATCAATAAAATGGTTTCAAAACAGGTTAGAAGGACATTTATAGTAATTAATACATTGCATATTGTTGCCTTCATAGTAGTTATTCAGAGGACAAGATGTACTCATTATATCTTCTCTAAACAATATTAGTACAAACTTTTTCAGTGAACTAAGAAAGTAGCTGTATATCTACCCTAACTCTCTTATATATACATATATTTTTATTTTCCTCCTCCCCCTTTTTCCCAACAAAACTGTCTTTTATTTACACTTTTGTGAAGTTAGTAACGCATGACAGTAGGTTGCTCAGCAACTGATAGCAAACCTTAACCAGACAGGATGTTCATCTCAGGAGTGAAGTAGCTTTTTGCTTTAGGCACTGCGCCAAGTCCCACCTACACATATTTGATTGATTCCCTGGCTCCCAACACATCCCCCTTTTTTGTTTTGTTTTTTCAGAGATGGGTTTTCCACTGCAGTTAGAGAAGCTATATTTGGAGAAGTCTTTGAAGGACCTTTTCATACTTGAAACAGGTCTAAAGACTGTAGGTACTTGAAGTTAGCAAATAACCCAATATAGTTCAATAGTCCATAATAGTAGTGAGTTATCAGCACGTCTTGCAATCGTCAGAAATTGTTGACTTGAG